TTGCTTTAATTGTCTTACGCTCCCTAGCTACAGCTGAAAATCCTTAATTGACCTAATTGAGAATTTAAGGTGGTAAATCTGCCACTGCTAAACTCCTTGCCATGTTGGCATGGAAAGCTCGACGGATGTAGTGACAATAACTAAAGGGGAGTGAGGTATAGCTAACAGTCAATTGTAGATGTTGAAATTTACATTTTCCCCCTTTTTAATAACTTTTAGTCCATGCTGACTTAAAAGATGAGATTGAAAGTTTATTCTTAATCCTCTGTTTCCTAGGTCAAGAATTAACTATACAGTTCCATAACTGGGCAAACTCCACCTGCTGAGGAAGATGTGGTAAGGTCAAAAGCTCTGGGACAGGGTTAAATGGACATTGTGGTGACATTACAAAGTAAAATAGTATTTCCCTTCCAGGATATATCCTGACAAGTGGCTCAAGTTAATGTTGCCATGTAAAATCCCCACCTCTGGATCCTTTCTCACCAGTTGGACGACACGTGGAGCCCATCACCAAGACCCCTTTCACTAAATGCTGCATTCCTGAAAAAGGACAGGAAGTGTACTGTTGAGAGAAGGGGAGTGCTCTTCATCAACACTGGTGGAGAGAGGATGTTTGAGGATCTACGTGTGAGTTTTTAAGTTATGGGTGATAGCAGTGACTCACGCACGAGGAACTGGGTCTACTGTGATGTGGGTTTGTTTACTCAGGGCCCAGTTAAAGTCATTGTTCCACATTTAAAGTTTTCCACATGTCCCAAAACTGCTCTTTAACCCTGCCGTCGGCTGATTGCTCAACCCCCCACAATCTGTCTCCTGCTGCGAGTGACTGGGGTTGTTGGCTACCAACTCACTGAGCACATCAGTTCAATCTGGTTATAATAACGCCATGGCTTTGTGTTGATATTAATCTGAGCGAAGTCATTAAACGCTCCATGTCTTGATGTTGCTCCAAGGTCATTGGAGAACTTTTGTGGATGGCAATTTCCTCACTCAAAACCAACATTTCTGTCAAATTGTATTTCGTCTCTGTCTGCGACTGAGATCAGATGGAAAATGAGGACTCATCAAAACACATAAATCAGTCATTTGTTTTGCCAGTTTACATTTCACCTCTGAAACATATGCTTTTTGCTCCAAACCAATGTGCCTCTGCAGCATGTATCATCATGGCAGCCTATAAATCATTTTTCCCCTTCTATTTCAAATATAACTGTAAACAAAATGCCAGAGAGCTATTATGAAATTCAAAGTTGCATTGCCTGCAGTGATTACAGATTTTTTAACTTTTTTGTATGCTATGCTGACAAACTGTCTTTCGTGTGGGAATTTAGCGACATATTTATTGTATTAAAATGTAAAAGTGCATCCATGTTCACTACAGGCCATAAATCTGATAGTTGGCAGTGAACGTCAAGGAAAAATTGATTCCAGGTGTATTTCAAGAATCACATAATTCAGTTGATTTGAATTTAAAAAGAAATAATAAGATAATTGAACCAAGCCAAATGTTTAACCTTGGGAAATATATTTGTGATGGCATACAACAATAATTCCAAAGATAAAATCTTTTCTGGTCCCTAGCAAGAACACAATGGATTTTCCAATTAATTACTCGACTGCATTTCCAAGCATTAAACCATGCTTGTTAAACAGTCAGAGGGAGTGAATTATGAACCCATAATTACCATGCTGTGTTCCAGCTGTTTTGTTGATCATTTTAATTCTTGTTCTGTCAGTCAGTTTTTATAGGGAGATATAAAACAGAGCACTTCCTTCTCTCATGAAATAATTTTGTCTGTCTACCAAAAGGTTTAAAGTTTATTGTTAAAAGACGTGGCATAGGCAGGATGTTCCCAGCAATAATAATTAATTTTTAAATTTTTTTCTTCATGTGATAGCCCCTGTAACTTATCATTAACAAATTTATTTCAAATACCCAGCTGAGACGATATTTTGTGATTAATAAAATGATCACATGTCTCCTGCGTGGTATGTTGACTTTAGTCAGTCTATTGTCTGTTTTGGCCAGTATATTTTCCAGTTACTGGTTTTTATCCTGACCGGCTGGACCAGAATGTGCAGATTTGGAACAACCAGCCTGACCCACTTGTATCAACCTACAGCGGATACAAGCCTCTACTTCTCCCGAAGATAAAATGATCAAGTTTGGACATCTTATAGTAAGGACACTGAGCACGAGGCTTCAGTGTGCTCTAGCGTAGTCAGCCTGTTTACACCGAGGTCTCTAGTTTTAATCCTGCAATATGTTCTCTCAAGTAGTTGATTTAATGAAACAATTACAGAATAAGTATAACATTGTGGATTTTTTACTGCCAGTGGCTCTCAAAGAAAAGTGACCTCTCTGACCTCTCTACCCGCTGCTGACTCCTGTGGTGTTCCCCAAGGCTCCATTTTAGGCCCTATTTGATATGGATTGTATAAGCTTCCATTGGCCCTTTTGTTTGGAAAATACAACATCCCTTACTGCTGCTATACTGACAACATGCAACTATACTTAAACCTCCAGTGTATTTTAAGTTGTGTTGAGGATGTCAAATGCTGGAAGGCCAAACATTTTCTCCAGCTTGAAAACAAAGGTTCCAAAAATGTCTATTGGAAAATATTCCTGGGCTTTGTCTTCAAATGTGTATACATGTGACTCTGACTCAAACAAACAAATAAAGTTTGTCATTAGTAGGAACTTTTTCCACATTAGGCTGAAAATAATAACATTTCTCTCTTTTGGATGTCTGGAGTCTGTCTAACTGCTTTTATTGCTGCAGGTCTTTGTGTGGGAGTCAGTCAGTCTCTTGCAACTATAGTTCAAAATGCAGCCACTTGACCCTTCACTGGTACTAAGCAGAAACAATTGCTACTCTGTACTGGCCTCCTTTCACTGGTTACTAGAAACTCTGCATGAATTGGCACCAGCATACTGCTCCGATCTCCTCAGTCCATACTCATGCCACATCCGACCCCTCAGATCTTCTGATCAATTATTCTTCACCATTTCAAGTTCCTAGTCAAAGTCCAAAGGTGACCAAGCCTTTTCTATTGCTGTGCCTAAACTGTGGAAGAGTTTACCTCTCACAGTCTGACCTTCCCCATCTAATGGCTGAAGAGAAGAGACCTTTTTAAATTGCGTTAAAGCCCTCAATTTAACGATTGTTTAGATTTAGTATAACAGTTATTCACCTACTTGTTTTAGTTTAAATCATATTTGCAATTTCTCTCTTTTTTAAGTGTGCTCCGAAAATGAACTGCACTTGTTACAACAATGTTACAACAAAAAACATTAAAAGAGAAAGAAGCTTTGTTTGTCTTCTAAATTTACACCAAAGACCTACTACAACACCTGCTAACTTTGGATAGAGTTACAGAGGAGCGATAACACCCGGCTGAAGTTTACTAAGGCAGCCAACAGTAACCTTTGGCGTGACCCCAAGTGATGTAACACAATAACCGGATTTCCACAGCTCTATGGGCTCAAATGCATTAATGATTTGATTGGATAACATTGCTTTTCCTCATCTTTATAATCTTTTTGCTTTGCTTGGTTTCCTGTCTATCTCCTGCTGAGGGTAGACAGAAGTCCTGGCAGCATTAAGCAAGCTACTAATCAGCTGTCAAAAATAAAATAAAATAAAATGAGATAAAAACAAAAACATGACCTTGATGTTGGATAACAGGACAAATGTAAAATGTATAGCATACATTGCTGTCGTGTGATCTGATCGCAGGAAGTCTGAGCAGATGAATTAAGGCATCCTGTCCTCAGCAGAGACACCACCTCTGCTCTGAGGCATTTTAACTCCCTGGACCCCACATTGACAGAAAGCATCTGTGAGCTTTCAGTTAGCTGAGCCAGAAACAAACACACACAGCATCCTTTCCCCACCTCCACTAAAAGACACAGAAACGCAACCACAGCGTTGACACAACCCTCCTGATGACCTTGGGGTGACCCTGGGGTGACCCCCAAGGTCATCAGGAGGGTTTTTTCACGGAAGCTCTTGGACAGAATACCCTCGTTTCCTTTGGGCTGTTGCAGTCTCATGTGGTAGTAATAAATCCACCACAAACTTGAAACGAACAATGCAGAAAGATGTTTGGATAGCCCCTCCTGCTTTTTTTATTTTTTTCTTCCCATCAGATGGTTTTCTTTTTTTTGGATGTTTGTTTTTGTTCAGTGCCTGATTTCACTGTTTTCAGTTCCTCCTACGTGGATCCAGTTGAGGGAAGACATGTATAGTAATGGAAATATTAATTAAGTGGAAATAATATACTGTGATCTTTCCTTTTATTTGGCCAAAGCCCAGCACTATGTAGGCAATATTCACAATTGCTGTGCAACGTTTCCATCAATTAAATCTTTATAAATCTTAGAAATCTCATTAATCTTCAAAAAAACTATCACATTATATATTCAATTTCAGTTCAATTCAATTTTATTTTTATAACGCCAATTCACAACAGTTCTCTCATAGCTCTTTTCAGATAAAGCAGGTCTAGACCGTACTCCTTGTGCTATTTGTGCTATATTTGTATTATCTATACATATATTATATTTATATATTATATATACTGTACACCAAACACAAAACAAAATGACACAACAATCACAGAGAAAAAAATCTGAGGGCTAATTCACAAAGATTCTTATGAAGGAAAAAGCATCCTTCTAAGCGCATTTTTCTTATCTCTTGAAAAGCTGATAATCAAACACATATCTCAACAATTTGGTAACTTTCTTCATATTCTGTTATAGAAGAAAAAAAACAATATTATTCTTAGACGGTAGCTATGGTCAGATATAGAAAAATATGTGTGCTGGTTTCCTCTTGGGTTGTGCAACAATAATTTTTTAAAAATGCATTAGCTGTAGGCTATCAAAATACAGTTTTAAATAAAATAAGTGTTCAGTCCTTTGAAGCTTATACACATCTTGGTTGGTAGCCTGAACGTCTGCCGTTCGTATTAGCAAGAATAATGGTAAAATCTGGGCCATTGGGACTTAAAATTGTCGATTGAGTATTGCACTTCCATAATGTTGGGAAACTTGCAAAAGACTAATTTTAAAGACAAAGTTCAAATTGATGCAGCATATAGTAAATTATAATCCCCATGTGTCATGACTCCTGCATCTGACACCTGAGTTTGAGACTGAGTGAGTGTGTTTTGATTTGATTTTTCCCTTTGGGTGAGGGAGGCATGCGTTGTGTGTTTTTGTTTGGTCTGTTTTTCTCTCCTCCTTTCTCTCAGTTATTGAGTCCTGGGCGTGTCTGGCTTCCTGGGTTGGCACAAGCTGCACCTGCTTGTAATCACACACCTGTTTCTGATCAGCCATCCCTACCCCTTCCTAAGGAGAGGCCAGACCTGCATTCCCTGCTGAATTGTTAAGTTGTGTGCTGTAGGTTAAGTTTTAACGTCTAGCTCTGTGCCTGTTTTGTCAAGTAACGAGTTCGCCTTTACTAATATCTGCCTTCCTGTCTCCAGATTGCCCATTCAACCCGCTCAGCCTGCCTACCAGTTCCAAGCCTCTGGAGCCACTAAAAGATCCAACCCTTCCAGCCACACTCCTGCCAGCCATGCCAACCCAGCCCTCACACTTTCCAAGTGCTTGGAAGGAAACTCCCTGTGTCCTCACTCTGCCTTAGTTTACTCACTGCTTTTATCAATAAACTGTTTAAACTGCTGCATTGTCTCTTGGTCTGCATATGGGTTCTAGCATGATTTCTGACATCGTGTGGGTAAAGGTCCAAAACCACTCCCACAATTCCATGCAACTTGCCTTGTCTTTTTGTCAGATACTCCTTTCTTGGTAAAGTCCCATGTCTTTCATGATTCCTTACCCCTATTAATGTGCATGCTTTTAGTTAAACATTTGTATGGTGAGACAACCCAGATGATCATTATTGGTTATTTACTCAACCATGACAAAGCTCCAAAGACATTACACAGCTGTTTTCACAGGCGGTGTATTAGTTCTCATGTTCAGTAAATGGATCTTAATGAAAAAAAGCATTTTCAAGAAGGCACATCATGTATTAATTAACAGTGCCTGATAAGTCAAAAAGCCATATAAACATTTTGTAGAGCTGATGAACAAGAGATGAGACAACATGATGGCAATAAGGATGAGTTGCAGTCCTGACAGCAGTAAATTCTGAGGAAGGATGTTTTTTGTCACATGGATCATTTGTTAAAGCTGTATCATTTCACATGATGTATGTGAACAAGTTGCTTTAAGGATGTTCAAAACCTTTAAAGGTGCCCCTGTGCATGACAGGAGGTACTATAAATATGTTCACTCTTTTTACCCTGATGTCTTGTTTCCATGTCGTTTTATGTTTATGTTGTTGTCTTTAAATTATAAGAACATTGTTGGCGTCTGACATTTCAGAGCTCTCTGGTATTCATGGACACATCATTTCCAGAAAAGTCAGTGAAGTGCAAACTGAGCTTGCAAATGTGTGACATGTGTGCACAATGCCAACAACTAACTAATTTAGCATTGAGTCTAATCCCTGCTTCTCTTAAATCAGTGCATTTCCTGTTAATAAACATTTAACCTGGGCAGAATCCATTCCAAAAGAAAGCAATGCAAATGCTGCTATTACCGAGAGGAAAGGTAGACCTAGCGGGTTTTGTACTATGGTGATCTAATTGGATTAGTGGGCAGTTGAAAAGGAAATGAGAGTAAGAGCGGCTTTGCACACTAACACTATTTGGCCTTTTAGCATATGAACTTTGCTTAGTCAATTAGCACAGCTTGATCTGAAGGGTTTGTGCGATGTGATGTTTGTAAACTGCTAGGTTACACCTCCATGAGTGCAATTATTGAATCCTATTTACAGTTTTATGAATAAAGAGACTGGCTCCATGGTTTGCAGCAGTCTTTCAAACTCCTTTTCCATTAGTGACAGCCTGATTTGGTTCTTTATTTTGAAGGATTTTCTTCCCTCTTTTAGGCTCAGGCCAAAGGGGTTATGCACTTGTTTGTCAGCATAAAGCCGAAGCTCAAGCACAAACGAAGAGAGCTCAGAGATCAAATCGCAGCCTTGGGAAGAACCACAGGATCTTTTTGCAGACACACTACACAAATGACTCAGTGTCTGTCCAGTGTGCCAGTATGTAATTGACGGTTGTGAATAAGTTATAGTACATATTTTATATGCCTTTGTTTCTGCCTTTAAAAGGCATCTTCGGGTTATTCATTGTGCAGCTATATGGTGAATCATTTTCTCTGTCTCACTTCTTCATAATCAGTTTGGGAGAGATACAGTAAAGGTAATTCTTGTAGTCAGGAATGGGGTTAAACATCTCTTCCTCAGGGCATAATTCAGATTTAGTTTGGCCAGTCATTTAGTTATTTTGGTTGGATTGTGTCTAACAGTGGCACCACCAGTTATTTTGGTCAAAGGCAGCCTAAAACTGTTTTGGATATGGCAGACCTGGTGTGTGTGTGTGTGTGTGTGTGTGTGTGTGTGTGTGTGTGTGGCAGTAAATAGAGACTTAAGAGACAGCTGAAGATACAAGGATGTTCTTAAAGTCTTTGGGTGGTCCAACCTCTCCGGGAGCGATTCAGCCTACTTTTTGCAGTGCCAACGCTGAACAGTGGTCATTATTAGCAGACAAACCAACCCCACCAGGCTGGGGTTACCGTCCAGCCAACTGCAGATGTGAATGTCTAAACAATTCTCCCACTCTGTTTTGAGATGCTCTATTACAGGTTCTGCATCCTACTCCAGATCCAGAAAAATTGACAGCTAAATGAAATCATTCATTTTCTGGTCTGATGTCATCCAAAAATTGCCATAATTGCTGAGGCCTGGCGTCTCTGGTCTGTGACTGGCAGAGACACTAGCACTGGGCGAGGTGCACGGAGAGGAAAGTAGACTGTCGGATGTTCCCTGTTAACTCTTTGTCTGTTAAAGCATGTGGGGCGCACAGTACAACAAGGGGTACAGGACCACTTTCTCCTGTCTGTTCGGAAAGCAAGCAAAGACAAGCCAGGACTTGATGTTGTCAGACCCAAGAGGCTAATGACAGACTCTTTAAATCGGCAGCAGAGGCTCAGGGAACTTCAGTGCAGCGTATGGGAATGCACACACAGTTATGTAACCACGTAGAGCCTGAGAACATCAGGGGCCGATTCCTTTCTGAAAAATCTACAGCTCAACTGTCTCAAGGAATAACATCTTTCTTTTATGTGAATGATCGTGACTGTGGGGAAGATGCATTCAAATGCTTTACTTCAGTAAAAGTAACTAGTAGTAGTAGAACTTTGTGCATTAGCCTGATTTGAAGTTGGAGACCAAGGCTGATGGTAAACGGTTCACACAGAGATCTTCTCTTAAAAATTAAGAGATTTATTTAGTCTGAGAGTCAGGGAAGGGGCTCAGAGGCTACAGGACAGAGAGCAGCTCTTCGTCAGCTCCAAGCCAGTTTAGCACACAGAAGATAAAGGATGTTGCGGGTTGATCTTGATCACTGGTTCTTCCTCTTGGCCCTCTTCCTCTCTTACCTCACAGTCCCACTTACCCGCTGTCCCACTTCTCGAGTTGGCCGGCAGTGTCTCTACCTGCCAGACACACTGCTGTCTTCAGGCGGATGGCAGGGCCGAGTTGAACGCTCAGCCTGTTGTATAAGAGCGTTATAAAGACATAATACTCTTTGCTCAAGACAAGCTTTTAGACTGTACTTTCACCTGCCATCATTAACACAGTTCTCTTCAAATCCCTGCAACACAAATAAGAGTTTGTTCTTATGTTAATGGAACACATGGATCATATTTATTTTAGTTTTAAATCTGAACACATACACTTACCTTTAGTTTTTACATTTAAGTTTTCCAGCTGTTCTGTAATGATATAGAATCATATTAGAGTGCATTGCTGTCAACATAAATGGTGTCCATATAACCTATTGAGTATGAGTACATTAATATACAGACAGATCCAAACCAATTAAAACCTCAAGTCTTCATCCCTCTGAAACTTGCATGTCGCACGTCCTCACAGCAGGGACGTCTGGAGGATCTGAACTGTAGCGGGGCTTGGTTCCCGGTGGACTGTGGGAGGAACCCTTCATACCTTTCAGTTCTGGGAGTGAATTTCCCTTGGAAGAGATTTTCTGTGAAAGCAATCTAAAAATGATTCCTTCCAAAGAGTTGTCAGAGTTGATGAGATTTACACACAATTTTACAAGGATCCCATGGAGCTTGTAAAGCACTTGCTTGAGTAATTGCAAATAATTTCATTCTCTGAATGTTTGTTTAACTGACCTCAGCTAACTCACTCAGCAGCACAGAGGCATGCAATTACAGGCTCATGTCTATTTGAATAATATCATTCAAGTTCAATATTAGGATAATTTAGTGTCTGGTGCTGGGCGTCTGTGCATTTCTTGGAAAACAGACCCCACAGACTCAATGTTCATACAACAACATTCAACAATAAATGTTTGTGCAAACAGGTTAGTTGAAAATAAGAATAAGAAAAATGTGCTATAGAAAATCTCATTGTGAGCTCAAGAGGAGTGTAAAGACATCAGAAATCCTGTACTGCCAAAGTTAATGGTAATAAATAGAAGCAAGCGTTATGGTTGGTGGATCGTCAGTGTTTTCAGTGTTAAAGGAAATCACATTAATTCTCCTGACAGGATTTGATCAGTTGGCCTGTGAATCTGTGTACAGACTAACATCACAGCACCCTCTGGTGGTAAACACGTACAAACAAATCCAGGATCTTGTTTTTTTTAACACATTAACTCCATTTTGTAAACGAAAGCGAAATTCACTCCACATTTGCACACTGACTACACACCCCAACGTCTAAAAATATCGATAAATCTTTGTACCTAGTGCTGAGGTTGCGAGTGAAGTAATACATATGTAGTAAACTGATCCAGTTGAAAACTGCCACTGGCGTGCAGTGTGCAATGTAGAGAAATACATAAAGCAGGATAGGAGCCAAACTAAAGTCGAAGTCCCTGATTGGCTTGAATAGTACACATGAGGAAGTATTTAATGACTTAAGAACTTTACACGAATCTCACTGAGAATTAGATGTTTGTGGTGTCCCATGTGTCTGCTTTAGCTCTATATTTAGTTGTTGTCATGTGTCGCGCTTGTCAGCTGGGACCCTGCAGGAGGACACGCCTCTGGAGTGAATGGAGCACGCCGCGCGTAAAGTCCGACCTGCAGCGGATCCAAACTTTAATTTAAACTTTATTTCGAGTATCTATTCGACAATATTGGTTCGTTCTTAGTCGAATAAATGCAGCCATGACGCGTGAGGAAGATCTCATCCGGATTGCAAAAAAACTGGACAAGATGGTGTCTAGAAATAACACGGTGAGACTTTACAGCATTTTGACACCCACAGGTGGCGTGTTGCGCTGCCGCCTGAAGGCCCTTGAACTTCTTGTTTGAAAATGAAATGTTTTCCTGCAGGTTTACGTTGGAGATACGTTTGAATTCTGGTGAATCTCGGTACTTGTAAAGTATGCACATTTGTAATATGAACCTGGCTGAACTGTAGCAAATGATCAACAGGTGTTTGCAGACATTTCGCTCGCAGGACGTTTCGGTCCCTGGGTGTGCGGCGCCATATGGGTCAATTTTTGTCAAGTTGTTGACAACTTTTTGCAAGTCTTTTGCTGGTGGTCATGTCGATCAGTGACTCATGCAACAGAAGGTAAACAACGCGGCCTGTGGGCAAGGTCGTGTGTGCGTTGTGACTGACTCCAAACAGGACATTGTTCAATGATCGCTCTCTCTCGATGCAGGCGATAATGTAGTAATCAGAATAAAGCAGACATACTAATTTGTGATACAGTCATTTGATTTATGGAATCTATATGTATTTGCTCGAATGTCCTCCTAAACCCCCCAAAATACAGAAGTGAAAGTGTTTACCGCTAAGTCTGCCTATCAGTTTGTGGTTTCCTTTTTAAAATTTATACATTTGCATCAATTTTGCATTTTACATTTGTAATTAAACACATACGATAACTAAACACATAAGATAAGGTGTTAAAAGTCTAAATAAGATGATGTTTGTTGCGATTGTAATGTGTGTGCAGGAGGGCGCCATGGACCTGCTGAAGGAACTGAAAGGTTTTAATATGACACTAAAACTTCTGCAGGTAGGCTCCAGTGTATTATATTACATTTATTTATATCTGTAGTTTCCAACCAATTCACTTATCAGAAACGCTTGTAATACACAAAATAAAGCTCACAATGCACATTTATGTGTATGTTTGTTTTAGGAAACTAGGATAGGCATGTCTGTGAATGGTATCAGGAAGCACTGCACAGATGAGGAAGTCATTGCCTTGGCAAAAGTCCTCATTAAAGACTGGAAGAGACTTCTGGGTACTTGACTTTGTGACATGGTTTACATTATGTAAATGATTCACTGAGCAGTTAGTTGTTTGTGCAAAAAATACACAAGTGAATTGAATGATTTGCTGATTTGCTTCATTCAAACACTCGCACAGACTCTGAGAAACCCTCTGAAAGGAACAACGGTTTGGACTCCAGCAAAACAACGGTGTCTCCAAACAGCTCCCCTCCTGAGACAAAAGGCAGGTCAGTACTTTCACAGCTGCTGCACAGAAACCTCACAGGTAACATGATTTTTAACACAAAGGAAGAGACATTATGAAACATTCAGTGAAATGGTGAGGTGTTTGTCATACATGCCATGATGCCACTACACTAGACCTACAGTATTAGTACATGTTCAGACATGTATTATGATAACATGTGCCTCTGCATGTGTATACAAAATACCTGCCTTGAAAATGTCTCAACAACAGCTCTGTTGAAAAGCACTCAAGAAGATGAAAGAAAGTGTCAGGAGTTACTGTAGCAGCCTTTCCAGAGGTAAATTAACAGTTGTATTGTCATTAAATGACATTGCATTATCATTTAGTACAGTTTTCTGGCCACCGACCGCTGGAGGGGGACTTGCATCATTCTTACATGCAGTATTGTTCTACAAGGGAAAATGGGCTACCCCCCGGATTGAGCAGTAAATGCCAGGGTTAGGCTGATGGCTCAAACAAGAATTACAATATTCAGCACCAAGGATAATGCTTTATGTTTAGAATCAAAATAAAAATTCCTGTAGTGTGTATGTGGTCGCTCAACAATTTACCCTAATGTCTCTGCGCCTGCGATAATGGCCTCTGTTAGAGGCTGTAATTTGGTTATTTTTCAGGTTAGTCAGTAGTTTACAAGTGCAAGTACAGGATATTTCTAAAGAGGCAATGAAAGTACTGATAGAAATCCTTGAATGTGTCTGGGAGGTGGGATTTAAATACTACCTGTGCAAGTCAGATATTTTAATCCCACACTTCTCCTTACCTGCTTAATTTGCTAGTCCTCATGCAGTTTATGTCCAGTCAGAGTTTCTACACATATAGTAGAGCTGTGTTACTTAAGAAGTAGAAATATAGATCACTAGTTAACATCAGTCAGCTCACACAATGAAGGGAAAAGTAAAGCTAATCAGATGGGCTGTTGTAGCGCCAGGGGGGGAAATGTTTTGTTACCCACCTCCCCCTTTAATTTTAATCCTGTCCGAATAAGGCCTAAATACAACAACAAACCTGACGTAGGTGAAACAGCTAAATGTCTGCTGGCTCTTGAACAGACGTAAAAAATTATACTTCCTTTGTTTCTGTTAGCCACAGGAGACTGGATGTCAAACCTGAACATGACTCAGATCCTGACAAAAAACACTCCGATAAAACAGAATAGAAAAACATAATGACGAGCACAAAAACAAAAAGACACACGTAGATGACCTCTGGGATGAAAAGCACCAGGAGGAGCCCCAGCATGACAAACAGCCCAAAGAAATCAGAAAAGAGAAGCATTTAGAAGAATCCAAACAACAAAGACCTGCGGAGGATGCCCAACTGCAGATAGATAACAAGAAACAGAAGCATGTGCAAGACCTGCAGATTGAGAAACTCAAGCCAGAACCAAGGAAAGAAAGGCTGTTAGAAGAACCAAAAAATGAGACACGTGGAAGAAGTCAAAAAAGACAAACGCCCAGAAGAGCCCAGGAAGCACAGCTACACAGATGACATGAAGAAGTACAAACACAGAGAAGACAGCAGACGTGAGAGGCCAATAAACACACTGCAACGAGAGAGGCTGCCGAGTGAGACGCCTGCTGACGCTCACAGACCAATATTTGAAAGGTGAGAATGGAGGTGGCCCAAAAACTGATTATCACATATCAAAATCATCCTGCAGTGCTTCAGATTGAATTATATATTTCAGGAGAGGAGTGTTGGACAGCACTATTCTGTATCCCACCCGGTTCCCCTCTCCTCCTCGACCTGCTCGGCCTCCTCCCCCGACCAAACGCCTCTCTGTGGACATGAAAAAAGACAGGTCAGGACTCTTGCATCGTCTGCATGACGGACTGAAATGTTCTCGCTGATGCTGCATGACATAACTGTTTCTGAGTTAGTCATATGCACTGACATTTGTTCCTACAGTTTTATAAGTGGACTCGTGGCCTGACAGGATGCCCCCTGTGCATGATGCATGTTGTGATGGGTCACTCAGGTGTGTCTTTATTGAAAGGATTTTGTACATCATCGGGGACCCTTGAGTTACAGCACTCTGATCTGTACTGTTGTGACATTTGTTCAGGAAGGACGGTAAAGACTCTTCCTCCAACATCCTCGTCCTCATGCTCCTCGACCCGCCTCTCCTCCGGCTAAGCGACCTTTACAGGAAGTGAAGAAAGAGAGGTCAGGCGTATTGTGGTGCATGTTTGTGAAACCATTTTTTGAGTTTACGTGCAGAGATTGTGTGAGATTTTAGGGGATGCTTAAACAAATGTTGATTTTCACGTCAGGAAAGTTCCGCCGGAACCAAATGCTCCAATTCCTCCTCTTCCTCTGCATCTTCATCCGCCTCCACCAAGGTCAGGGTCTGCATGGCCGCTGCACTGTCTCACATTAATATTCGCTCTCATCATGACGTTATTCAGCAAAGCTCAAAGGTGTTTTTTTATTTAGAAAAGAGCCCCCTGATCCCAACGCTCCTCTTCCTCCACTTCCTTTTCACCTTCACCCCCCGCCTCCCCCGAAGCGTCCCTCACAGGACGGGAAAAAGGACAGGTCTGGATCAGATGATTTCTCATTACAGACTGCATTAAGTTGATGCCTTCAAGTATCTGGGAGGATTGTTTTGGAAAAGTAACCTATAATTTCATTTGGAGTTTTTTCTTCTCTGCATTGAATCCTTGTGTTGTTTGCTACAGCAGGAAGGAGTGTTCCGACTCTAAACCTCCTTCACAGAAGAAGACGTCAGATCATGTGAAGAAAGACAGGTCTGGGATCTGGGAAATATTCTGTCTCTCATTCATCCTTGAAAAATTACTTTGCTGTTGTCTCTGGAGGATCAGTTACCTCCGGACTGTAATATCTGGTTTTCGTTTGTTTTGGACAAACAATTGAAACAATATAGTGTCGTTCTCTGACAGCGATGCGGTGTGTCGTGCTGTTCCAAGAGTTATGTCAGTAATTGATCTTTTTCTATTTACACTACTACAAAGGAAACTCCAAATAACATGTTTATTGAACACTTTTAATAGTATAACAGGCAGATTGGATCGACTATTATTTAACTTATTTGACTAAATATCCTGATATATTATTAGGAAATACCTGCACATACACATCATTACTTAAACCTGCCGTTTAGTAACTCAGTGTGCAAACAACAAAGAGTGTAGCAGCACTGTTTTCTTTTTGCAGGAAAGACTCATCGGATAGCAAAGTGCCTAAAAAACACTCAGATGAAGCCAAGAGAGACAGGTTGGCAAGTCATGGGTGTTAAAATGCTTGTTGGGCTGTGGGTGTGACACACAATGTTTGTGTGGTTCATCTTACACTTCTTCAAACAGCTCTTTATCAGTTTTCAGTGCATGGGGAGCTTCCATTTTTATGCCTTTACTGTCCTGTGACAGTTTGTTTGAGAATCAAACAAATGTTTCCTTTTGTCAGGAAAGATTCATGTGACTCTAAACCGCCGCATCCCAAAAAGCCCAGTGTGGATATCAAAAAAGAAAACACAGGTGTGCAAGGGCAGGAAAATTAATGCCACTGTACATTTAATTTTAATTTATGCTGCTTCATGTTGGACATAATCCCAAATGTGTATTTTATTTTTAAAAACATGGTGTCACAATGCTGTTTACCTTTGTTATAGAAAGGACTCCTGTGACTTGAAGCCTGGCCAGCCTGTGAAACGTCACTCAATTGACTCCAAACCTGACAGGTGGGACTGGTATGCACTTTTTTAAATCTCACTGGAAATTAAATAAACATTGCCAATAAAACAAGATGTACTGAAAGTGTCTCACTACTTACTGTAGGCGGGAATCCACTGATTCAAAGAAAACTAGCTCGCCACCAGCAAAGAAGCTATCAGCTGAAAGGTGAAAGAAACAGAAGCTTATTTTTCATTACAGTTTCAAAGGTTTATTTCAGTGGTATAGAGACTGACTTTGTATTATAGGAGAGAGTCTCACGGCTCCAAGACCTCTCATCCTGGACCTCCACAGCGGAAGCCCTCTACTGACAGCATTGAAAGGTATTTCAATATGAATTATTGTAGAATTTTACTGATGATACCCATAATTATTTTATATTTAGTCTAGCTGAAATATAGAATACATGCTGATGAACTAGGTGTGGCTATTTGGCACAGAGAATTATCACCACACCGCACTGTCCTTTCAGCAGAGCGTTTTAGCACCTTTCAGTTCTTTTGGGGGTGGGGGTAGTGGTTTACAACCGGGAACTTTACTGTTTGGTTAAGTCTCAAGGCTCTCATCGGCCTTCTTCCAGCTCCAGCCAGGCGTTTTTGGTGAAGAACTTCCATACGCTACCTGTTCAGGACCAAACAACAGACAAAATGTGCAACTAGCTGGTTAATAGAGTGGAGCATTTAGCGGCTGACGGGTCAGACATTTCCCCAGGAGCTCATCTCAGTTTTGTTTTATACATCTATTTAAGATTTTTATGTCAAACATGTTCTTGACAACTTCACACACTCTAATCTGTGATTGTTTTGATGTGGCCTTTTTTGCAGAAAGGGCAAAGTTGATGCCCCTAAAACCCCCACAACCCCGACCAGCCCCATGTCACCCAGCTTCAGTTCTGCCGGGGGTCCACTGCCTCCTCATCTCGCAACCGGAGACTCTGTCAGAGACAAGTGCATTGAGATGCTGGCAGCTGCCCTGCGCACAGACAGTGAGGCTGAGATCACACTTTCACACTAAGAGTACAGCAGCTAATAGGCTCTAAATATGCTTACAGGATATCACTTACAAAAACAGCCTGGATAGTGAAACTTAGCTGCAATATGCCACACAAGGAACACACAAATTTAAGTGTAGTGTGCAGATTAACATGAATTGTTTTTACTTCACAGATGACTACAAAGATTTTGGAACTAACTGTGACAGCATGGCGGCAGAGATTGAAGATCATATCCTTGAATTTGGTTAATTATTTGCCGTTATGATTGGTTTGATTAATTTGTGGTTCACTCAGTGATGATTAATATGATCAGATCTCCCTTGACTGTTTGATTGCACATATCTACCAGGACATAAAGGCCACTGATATGAAATACAAAAACAGAGTCCGCAGCCGCATCAGCAACTTAAAGGACCCAAAAAACCCTGGGCTTCGCAGAAATGTTCTCGCAGGAAGCATTGAATTAAGCCGCATCGCCACCATGTCTTCTGAGGTACAGAACACTGCAACTGCATAGTAAACCACTGGTGACCTCCTCATTGTAGTACTTCAAACTGCCCCCTCTGCTCCATCTTTCTGTTTATGTAGGAAATGGCCAGTGACGAGCTGAAACAGCTGAGGAACGTTCTCACCCAGGAGGCCATCAGGGAACACCAAATGGCCAAAACTGGTGGCACCACCACTGACCTGCTGCAGTGCGGCAAGTGCAAGAAGAAGAACTGCACCTACAACCAGGTTAACAGACATGAGCACCCTGTACATAATCGGTTTCAACAAAGCAAAAGTCATTATTAGAGAAAGAAAACATACAATAAAAGTACTTTTTAGGGCCACAGTGCCACAGTATTAAATCTGCTTCGATGATACCATTGATGTTTTATTAACTTCAGCACTTACTTGCACTGTAATATATTGTTTACACTCCTGTATAAATGTGTGTGCATGTGTGTTTTAGGTGCAGACACGCAGTGCTGATGAGCCAATGACCACATTTGTTCTGTGTAATGAGTGTGGAAACCGCTGGAAGGTAGGTCTTTCCCTGTTTCATTAACACTTATCTTTTGTACCTTTTTGAATCCTATAAAAGATACCTTTGTAATAATTCTGCCTCTCCTCTAAATTTCAGTTCTGCTGATGCCTTCCAGGTGAAACTACGATTTATTTTCCTGAGCATATTGAACTGCATATTTTCTGTAATGGGAGGGAGTTTATAAATTATTGCAGCTTGTGATTTAAACAGATCAGTAGGGTTCTTATAATTTGTACTTGACATTTTGAGATTTTTAAGCATGTGCTAATAATCCGGGTTTGCTTTTTGTGGAATTGAACACTGAGCATGAATGCCAGTTTGATGACTGAACAATGAGTGATGATCACGGCGCTGCCATGATCGAAAAACTACCCAGTTAATATGCTGTGTCATATTACAGCTGTTCACTTTGTATATATCTAATTCTAATAAAACTGCATAAATCATCAGTATGATGGCTTTTTAAACTCACATATAATAAAAGATTTTGACAATCAGTCATAGAGTCACATCCCTCATTATCACAATCATCACCACCATCATCGGTGTCTTGTGGCACAAAGAATATGCTATTGATGCTGATGAAGAAAGAAAAAACTGAGTGTTGCATCTGCAATTTTCACTACTTCTCTAATGTACTAATATTCCAAGGGGGCCACATTTAAATATACAATTGACATGTTAGTAATTATAAATAAATCTGGAACTAATTAAAATATAACATTCAAATGTTTTTAATGAAAATGGTGTCTGTTGTTGCACGACTGAAAATGTTCAGTAGATGGCAACAATTCATCATAACTCAAAAGGACAGCATTGGCTCCCACAATATTTCTTTCTTCAGGTTACCAAGCACAAATTAGAGGCTTGCTTGTAAGTGCCAGTCCAACAGGCTGGCAAAGCCAGAGGGAAGCGCTGCTGCTGAACAGCATTCAACAAAATACACTGTTGTCCTGGATGTTACTGAATTTCATATACTTATGAGAAATATGTTTTTGCAAATTATAATCCATCAGTTTTGTGTTCCTGAAGAATTTGTGCTATATGCATTGCATTAATGGATAAATATAAAATGTAGTGGTAATGTGAGAAATATGGTTTGTATGCCAGTAGAAATGATGAAAAGGAAAAGCTGCCCTCTGGCTGAGTATCCACCATCTGGTTTCCTGTGAGTTGAAACCACATTAATTTACTTCTGCATCATTTTCACCATTACAATTCCTCTGTTGATGTGCAGGCAGAGTTCAGAAAGCATAATTGACTGTGTTATTCTACATTGGTGCATCAGTGTTAAAATCAGCATCCCTCTTTCTTCCCGTGTGTCTCCTGAAGTTCAACTTAAACTTAACAGATACACATAAATAGGAATATAAAAAACAGAAACACAAAAAGCAAAATCCACTCGATTAACTCAATAATCTGTGCCAGGCCCTTTCTGTAATAATTTGTTAATGGATTCTACAACATAATTCCCCATATTTTCACTTAGTGTCAGCTGTTCCGCTCCGTAACCTTTACATCCCCAACAGTTGCTGAACTGAGAAAATAAAAGCTGTTGAAACAGTAACACTCTCAATACTATGCCCCAAATGAATAATGCTCTCAAATAATGGCAAAAATGTTTCATGCAAATGTATAATTATTTGTAAAGTCATTGAAAATTGTCCTTTAATAAAAGTAAATACATTTTTTGATTCATTATTATCATTATCCTTAGTACCCTTATTATTATACAACCATATTAGAGAGTACAAATTGTCTACTTTTAAGCCAATGTAGCTTGTAGCTTGGGGGCCATCAGTTTGATGGCTTCACTCCAATAAAAGATGACATTTAAAAGAGCAGAAGTACCTCAACTTTTAATTTACAATCAGTTATAGAAAAAAAAAGAAATCTGCTTATGTATCAAACCTGCACTAAATGGACTCCAAATCCATGTATGCGAGTGGTCTGCTGCAAAATTTTAATTGAATTGTGGTGATGTTTTGTTATTATGTTATATACATGAGAATGGGACAGGAGTGTTTGGTTGTGTTCTTTTTTCTTTTCTTTTTTTTTATGTGACCTATAATGTGACAAGCCACGTCAAGTAAATCAGAGACGCACATTGATGTAAACTCAGTATGGATGTTACAGTCTCTCTTGAGAACATGTGCACCAATGCATGACTGACGGCCACATCCAGGCATCATCCAATCACTTTCGGCTTCAAAACAGCCCGACCTCACGAGTTGAAGCGACTGTCAGTCAGGATGAATTTATTTCACCACACAGCTGAACATTTGGGCATAATTACATCTCTGTCAGAGGGAAACAGGCATCGCTGGAATTTTTCAACATTAACACTGCACTCAGTTGCATGTTATTGGCAGGTTAAATGCTGCATAATACTGTGTACTGCGTCCCAAAACTTAAAATTTAACTTTCACAGGAGAGGAGACCCAGATGCTTTAATTATTACCACATCCCTTGTGATCATGTGGCTTACAGAGCTCAAACTGTCGGTATTCTTCAACACTTATTGCCTTGTTGACTTGCAGAAGCCTTCATTGTCTGAAATGTTTCCTGCAGTGATGTGATGAGTCTGTAACCTCTCAGCCTCCTGTTGTTGCTACATGCAGCTTCTCTATAAATGGAAATAAATGAGACTTGGTAGGCATAACATCAGTCAGGTGATTAAATGTAACTGAACACTTCACCCCACAACTATAACAGTATGAAGGTCAGGCTGGACATGAAATGAATTTGAAACTTACACACTTTTAAGAACAATTGTGCACTTGCTAGCGTGGCTAAAACATTACAGAACACCTCCAAAACATCCAAAACATCTCTATCCTGACTGCTCAGCATGTTCCAGAGACTTGCACTTGCACAGCTCAAATGTAACAATTAATATTATAATTTAAACATTGTTTGTGTCTGTTTGTATGAACCTTTGACACACACATAAAGATCAGATCTACATAAAGTCAGACAATGTTATTGACCCAGTAACAAGCAGTTACTGGGTCATGCAGAGTATTTATGATTATGAATTAATTTTTCTTCTAGGTTGTAGAAATTACATGAGAATCCAGCAAGTGCTTACTTAGGCTTTTCTGCCTCTGTAATGTATCTTTAGAGTCATGCTGCAGGGAAACATCTCTCTGTGAAACATTTCAATTTAGAACATCTGCAGGCTCTGAAGCATCCAAAAGGTCTTCACCCCTTGAACGGCTGCAATCCTTGCACTCCATGCAAACTGCTTGAGTTGGATAAAATGGCCTATTCAAATAGTAGGCTAATACTCAAAATGGCATTGCATCACTTGCATCCTCAGCATCCTCACTTTGCTCTTTTAAAAACTGAAACATCATCTGCTCTGGTCTTGATGCTTGATGTTTTGAGAACTCTTTAATAACCTTGTGAGTGGGCATAAAATGTTCACCTTTACTGCTGCTGTGTCAGATGAAAGTGTCATGGCTGAGACTCTTTAAATTGCAAGGAAAGTGCTCTGAGGAACAGAGAGAATGGATGATCTGAGGATTCGACTGCCTCACACTCCTCCCTTTCGCTCTCTTAAGAAACAAATGCCTCTTCATAGCTTTTGCTTATGAGTGGCCGGTTGAAGTGTATTGTATCAATGTCGAGAGCTGTCATATTGTGGAGGACTAATCCAAACCTGTCCAACACCTGTCTCTTTTGCTTTAGAATGTATTAAATTAGTCAAGCTATTGCCTTCTGATCTACTGTATAGAGGGCAAATATATCCTATAGTCTATAATAAACTGTAGAGGGAAAAATTTAGTTGTTATTAGCAACAAGCTATGGCTTTTAACGTTGCGATTTTGAATGAATATTTTGGCAGGCTGTGCAAACTGGACAATTGAGTAGAAATAAACAGCTGAAGATGTTTGACCTGCAAGGAAGTTTTGAGAACCTGCAACTTTTTAAATGTTTGGAGCAATGTTTGTCAGAAAAAGGGAGCCAGGGCAGTGGTGTTCAAATACTACCCCATATAATATGCATGGTTGCATAATGCTGGGTGAAATGACCTGGACCAGACAGGAGCACAGTGGTCTGCTCTAGAGCATTGGAGGACAAGCTGCGGGACTCCATTTGGGTTCTGCGAGGTTGTTTCCTGACTTCACCTGAGCTGGCTTTGATTTTGCTGCCTTACATGTTAGGGTGCTTTAAAGATTTACTCCTGTGTACTGCCAAATAAATTATAACAACATCATGGGTAGCAGCAGACAGTCTGCCACCTCTACTTTATAATGGTAGTTTTAAACACTGAACCCACAGACACTCAAGTAAAATTAAGATATCTTTGCAGCTATCTGAGCTTATAGTTGTTAATACAGGGATATCTGACAACTAGAGAGACAATCAGCCACTGTCTGAAAGTAACATTTAAAGAAGTAAAGCCTTCTCCAGACACACAAAACATACCAAGAAATCAATCAAATCTGTCTTGTGTTACGGGATGCTTTAGAAATGTGAATTAATTAAAGAAGTAAAGTAGCTGGATATGAACAGCGAGAGTTTTCAGCCATGCTTGCGGCTCGGTGGGGCTGGTCAGAGTGGTGCTTTTGCTCACATCAGAATGCTAATATGCCTGCAATGAATGTTGATGTTTAACGGGTGTAGTGTTTACTACATTCACCATCTTAGTTTAATGTGTTAGCATCCTAACATTTGCCAAACAGCACGAAACACAGCTGAGGCTGATGGGTAAGACATGATTTGCAAGTAATGGTATTGGGCAAATTATAATATTGACCTTACATTTTTTAAAAAGTGAAGGGTTCACCAAAGTTACAATTTTTCATGGCTATCCCTCGATGTCGGGGATGAGCCATAGAAGTATTCATAGGCTCTCAATCATGTCTGCATCACCTTCTTAGCAAATCTGCCCAATAGTTGTTCAGTGATTTCACTAAAAAACTAAATATTAACTTCTGGTGGCGCAAGAGCAAAAGTCAGGTGGTCACCAAAGTCTTTAGGATTCATCCTTTTAGGTTAATAAATATCAAAAATGTCAATCCATCTAATAGTTGCTGAAATATTTCAGCCTGGACTAAAGTGGTGGCCCAACCTACCAGCAGACTGACGCTGCCATTCCTAGAGCCACCCCACTAAACTATAAATTAAAAAGAAACTTAACTTGGCCTGTCAGAGAGAAGTCATCTTTTCCAGGTTTAGCTGTTTGATTCAAAACTTTAAACAGACCAACAAATATAAACAACCTTTATATGAATTATGTAAACGCTCCTGAATGATACCAAAAATGTCATGTCCATTTCAGACAGTCCTTATCAGCACCAGCATGTTCCTCCCCTCTCCTCTTCTGCTGGAAATGATTATATAATATAATATAATATAATATATACATTAATATTAATTATATATATAAATTATTATGAGCCTTCTAGGTCCTAAAGATGGTGAAAAAACAGAGACTGAGGGGAGCAACGTGTTCACAGGAGTAGGAGGAAGCATTATGTCAAGGAAA